GTCAAATGCCTTACTAGTCCATAGTCCATATTTCATAGTCCATAACACTTTTTCATGACTGTGAATTTGGTAGGGCCCTATACATTAGGCCAATCCTTTGTTCTTCACCTGTAATCAGGGGATCACAGTCCACTTTCCTTCCCCTCCTCTCCCACCCCCACCCTCCTCTGTTTGTCTCTTCCTCTGAAGTCCCCACAGTTTCTTCATTAGCATTTGACTCAGTATGCACATACACTTTCTTTGTAAGGCACAGAATATACAGTGGTTAGCTAGAGAGATAAGTGTCTCCTGCCAGGTGGAACCTGTCCTGAGATGTCACCTCTGGGTGATCTGCCTTTAATGTCAAAGCTTTAACAAAATAATTTCCAACATATTCATATCTCTTTACATATTAGTGGCACATATATTTACCAAAGATTATGATGATCAGCATGACACAGGTTTTCAGTTAAAACCTTACAGGATATTCTTTGGTGAACTAGAATGTAAATATCAGAGCCATGGGATCCCTGTAACTCTTATGCACTCCCATGCTCTCTGCCAGTGGCATCAAGAGGTCCTTCAGTCACAGAGGCCTCCCTATAACCTTTGGCCCAGTGGCTAGGGATGTGGGAGATACCAGTTCAACTCTCCCTCCCTCCCCCAATAAGGAGAAGAGGTTTGACTAGGAATAAGTGCCCTCACCATTGGACTAGAGAGTCATTTCTCTGGTCCACTTAATATTTAATACAAAGTGGAACAGCTTCCACAAGAGAAATGGAGACAGCTCCTTACATCAGAATATTCCATAGCTCGACGGCAAAAGCACTCTTCTGAGGGGTGGGAGGCCCCTATTCAAATCCCTTCTCCTTATCAAGCAGAGTGGGGATTTGCGTATAGTCTCTCCCATCCTGGGTGAGTGCCCTATTAAACAAAAGATTATAAAGAGAGAGTCCTCCTTCTTGCCATGAAGGAGGGTCCTCCTTCTTGCCTCCTTCATGCTTGTCTAAGTCCCATGAACTTAGACAAGCACAACACATGCTTACCAGATCAGGCCACATAGATGAAATAGGCATTCCCCTACCTGGCTGAGGCTCATGCTAAGGCTTAGGCAGGAGATAGGCAGAAATGTAGGCACCTAGGGACTCTTACAATTAAAATTTAGGTGCCAAGCAAGTTTAGGCATCTACAGGGCTGGGTAGAAGCTGATTAGGAGTTGTGTGGATCGCAGTAGTACCTAGATTTTGGATTTAGGAGCCTAAATCTGAGATTTAAACACCTAAATCCCTTTCTGGCTCTGTGCCCTGGTGCTTTTCATTGTATTTTCACTTAGGCCCCAATCCATCAAAGCATGAATGCACTTGCTTATGTTTAAGCACGTGAGTAGTCCCATTTGCTTCAATAGGGCCATTCACATGCTTGAAATGCTTTGTTGGATTGGGGCCTTAAATAATGGTGGGATTCTGCACCCTAAAAGATCAAATTCTCCCAATTATTTTACAACCTGCCTCTAATTTTACCCCCACAATCCATTGTAAATACAGGAAGTTGTTGGGATATTATTTAGACTGTTAGCAAGTCTGCAGTTAGATATCTAAAAGTCTATGAGTTTTTTTAGTGCAGGTGAATGTGGGTGCAAAATTAGGAGGTCATCTTTTGTAAATGTAACCCTTTTTCAGTCAAGTTTTAATATGAGGGATAGAAAAACAAATTAAAGTAAATAAGAATCTCCTCAAATCTTTGCCTGAAGCACAGACAATGAAACTTAGCTCTTACATAGTACTTTTCACCAGTAGATTGCAAAGCACTTTGTAAAGGAGGTAAGCAAATACCACTGATGGTCTGAGGTTTAAAAAAAACAAAAACAAAAACTTCAGTTAACTTTTTGCAATGGTCTTCATTCTTCAGCATGTCTACTTTTAGATGAGGTCAGAAGTACAACTTCTATGAGTAAAGCTATTCTATTTGTGTAGTATTTCTGACTCATCAAAAACCAGAAAGCCTTTGAAATCTCATGAGAAAGTCTGTTCTCAAAACATTTCAAGAGTATTTTTTTTAAAGCAGTGGTTTGCATAAATATGCACAGATCTGTATACTTACCAGAACTGAACTGGACACACAACTCAGGAGGTTCATCTGCCACTGTCATACAGATCCCTGCAAAATTTGAGCATAAGAGCCAATTTTTTGCACATAAAATGGTCTCGATTATGTCCCACATGAGGACATGTAAGGGAGTAAGGCCCCCAACCCAATCCCCCTGCATGGTGAAAGAGGATCTACCAGATCTTGGGTTGGGCATCAGGAGGGAGACAGCAAGAGCAGTATGTGCAATACTCCCACCCAGAGAAGCCAGGGAATAAATAGAGCTATGAGTCTTTCCTGCTATGGACTCAGCAGCAGAGCAGGGGAGTATACTTGATCTGGCCATGGGTTGATGCAGCTTACTGCCCCATGCAGAAAAAACAAAAACCCCACCTCTCTATAATAATGGACTCAAACTGCTCAGTCTATTGATACTAACAAAGAGAAGGTTAAAGAATGGACTTTAGTATAGTCTATAACTATCTACATGGGGAACAAATATTTAATAATGGGCACTTCAATCCAGCAGAGAAAGGTGAACATGAGCCAATGGCTGGAAGTTGAAGGTAAATCAATGCAGACTGTAAATGAAGGATACATTTTTAATGGTGAGAGTAATTAACCATTGGAACAATTTACCAATGGCCATGGTGGATTCTCCACCAATGACAATTTTTAAATAAAGATTAGATTTTTTTTAAAATATATTCTTTAGGAATTATTTTGTATAAGTTCTAGGTTTATACAGGAACTCAGACTTGATGACCACAGATGTCCCTTCTGACCTCGGAATCTAGGAAATATGTCTCAAATGGGGTCTCACTGAGACATACAGTAGTTCCTTTCCAGACTTGTTCCTGGGGCAGCTTCTTATTCAAGGCCTCAAATAGTTACACATAGAAAAGGCAATTTGTGCTGACAATTTGGCAATTATGTATGCAGTTCCTATTCTGGTGAGCACCTGAAGGGTTTTGGAGCATGCATTCACACATAAACTTTGGGGGGGGGGGGGGAGACACACATCATAGGCCAGTTGAAATTTGTACATTAGTATTCGAAATGTCCTTCATCAAACTTCCAACAGAAACTTAAGAATCCTTGTGGCACCTTAAAGATTAACAGATTTATTTGGACATAAGCTTTCGTGGGTAAAAACCTCAAGAAGTGAGGTTTTTACCCACAAAAGCTTATGCTCCCAATACTTCTGTTAGTCTTAAAGGTGCCACAGGACCCTCTGTTGCTTCTTAAGAATCCTTGTAACTGGAGATTTTCCTTACCAGCTTTCAAGCCCCTTCCTCTCCTAAAATTGAAAATTCTGGCATGTAGGAAATTAGGGAAAGAGTTCAAATCCTTAACCCCAACATGCAGCCAGAGTAACTGTTCTCTATAAATCTTTCTGGGAATCAGGAATCATCTCATCCCCTTGGACTGTGGTGCAGCAGCAAAACCACTTTGTGGCAACTACTACAGAATCTGGATTTCAACAGCCCCTACACAGTGGTATGCTCCCTTCTGCAATAAAGACTAGCCAGTGGGTCCATGTATTTACATATCCAATAACCTCACCCACTCCGGGCCCTCCACCCAAAATTTCCTCTAGAGTACGGTGCATGGAGACCAGGCAGATGAGAACTCTATGGTATACAGAGACCATGGACCTTCACTGTGGGGTCCCAAGAGTTTGCATCTTTAGCTAAAGTGCAATTGCAGTGACTCAGTTGGGTCAGTGTAATGTCTCTAATTTGTCATCAGATACAGAAGAAACTAACATACAGACATCACCCAAGAGAGTCAAACATAAATATCTAATATTAATCTCTCAGAGGCTACCCTCCATCTTCATCAGAACCAGATCTACCCAATTAACTTCCTGTGTGTGCCACTACCCAGTCTCAAACTACTGCCATTGGGAATTTATGGCTGCAGAGGAAGTAGTGGGATTACAGCCCTTAGTTGCCTAAATACCGTTTTGAGGATCTAGGCCTAACTCCCATTGAAGTCAATAGAAGTTACTCACCTAAATGCCTTTGAGGATCTGAGCCTTAAGCCTGGTCTACACTAGAAAATTAGGTTGATTTAACTACATTGCTCGGGGATGTGAAAAATCCATACTCCAGAGCAGTGTTGTTAAATTGGCCCAAGTCCTCATGTAGACAGTGCTATGTTGATTGGCGGTAGCTAAGTTACTGGAAGTGTTCTTCACTCAGGGAGGTGTATTACCTATGTTGACAAGATAATGCCTCCCAGCAGCATAGGTAGTGTCTATACTGAAGTGCTACAGTGATGTAGCTGTACCACATAGCATTTTAAGTGTAGACAAGCCTTTATCCATATGGAAGTGTAACACCACTAAAATCACCAGTTTTCTTGGCACAGATTTTTCCAAAAGGCTGCATTTATTTACAAATGCTTGGAATTCAACTTCATCAGTCTGCAAACATTAACTGAATCCTCATGCTGTGTATTTGGTTGTTCAAGACACTGTCCATTGCTTTTATAGTATTGGGGGTTTTGTTTTTAAACATTTCCACTGTGAGGAATCCTCCTTAAATGCTTGAAAATAAAAAGACTTCTTTCTTTGAAAAAGTCAAGTCAATGCTATTAAACCCTTGAGTCAGATCTGCTGTAGTGAAATTCTGTGAAAGTTTCCCCATACAGCTCTGCCAATGAACTTTAATCCTGAACTGCAACAGTCTGTTAATTCTGAGTTTCTCTTGAGCAGAAACTGCCTGTTGTGCCAAATTGTCTGATGTTTTTTTTGATGTAGAAAAATGTCTGCAGGAGAACAGTATGAGACCAGATTTATCTGTCCAAATCAGGGTTTGAACCTAGGACTCCAAGTGCACCATATATCCTGTCCTCCTAAAATGGCAATTTATAACATTTCTTCTACATAATTTAGCCTCCTAGCTTCATATTCCAAACTCATTTTAAATTTAACCACAACACTCCTTTATGATCACATTTTAAATATTATACAATGTAAAATCTGATATATCCAGAACTTGATCATGATGGTTACAATAGTAGAATACTAGCCTGGGGAATAGGGGAAAGAAGCAATGTCACTTTCCCATGCTCTGCCTAACAACCCATCTCTTTGCACCTGAGATATCACAAGACAATAAAATAGGATACTATTCAAACTACTCATGATCTCTTGTTAACTACACTCCCTCCCTTCCTGTGTGCTTTAATTTGCAGAGAAATGATTATTAATGATATTTGAATTATCACAATGAGGCTTTCACCACAGTGAAAAGAGCAGGGGCAGTTCACACAGCCTGAAACAATAGTTCTGAGATATCTCTTGACTCAGGCAGACATAACTGTACCAGCATACACTTGGTTAACAATTGTAAAGGTCTCTTTGCAACCATAAGCACTAGAGACTTTTTTTTTTTAAGTGAAAACTTTCTCATTTTTATTTCCAGATAAGAGTGCCAGCTGTTGTGAGCTGGTCTGATGTGACTTGTGGCTAAAGCAAACACTACTTTATGAAAATGAATGCTTCTGTCTTGTAGTGATCATGTGTCTCCTAACCCTACTTCATGCTCCTTTTTAAAGACAAGAGTACTACAGTGAAGCAATAGTTTTTAATAGCGGGTGCTGACTATGAGCATGCAACTCACCAGTCAGCACATGACAGGTTCTCCTCCTTCAGCACTCCCTACTGACAGCCATTTCAGCACTGCTGTGGTCTGCTGCTTCTTGCAACTCAGCCTTCAGACCAGATCACAAAGTCTCACCTCTTCTGGGATACCAAAAGCCCAACTAATAATAGTTTGTCAACTTCACACTGGACCTTTGGTCTGAGTCCACACTCACTAGTCCTTACCCCTGTATCAAGGTGAAGTTTCAGTAGTCCTTACCCCTTTTGGGGGGGAAAGGGGTGGGGTCTGCTCCATCTTTTTCTGTGAGCTGGTAGGTAAACTCAAGGTCTCCCTCTCCACTGGGTTCCGGTTCCCAGTATTAGGCTGTCAAGGGCTGACTACACAATCACCTGGCTGATTCCCTGGGCCACTTCCTACCTCACCCTGTCTTGGGTTTTTGCCTCAGCCTCTTCCCATACTTCTAGAAATCAGTTCTGTTCTTTAGCTAAGCCTCTTCCACTGGCTCACTGCAGAGCTTCTTTGCAGTTTCTGCTAGGCAGCCGGTTCTGCTGGAGGGAAGTTTTTGCCATTGTCCTCACAGGACAGTCACTAACCTAGAAGAAATCTTTCTGCTCTCTACAGGCCCTCCACCAGTGTGAAGAGTTCTCTGCAGACACTTCCTGTGTTCAGTTCCCAGTTGCAGATGTACCTTTCTTTAGGGAGGTTCTGCTTGCCAACACCATAGCTCAGCTCCCTGACACCCATCAGGTGTCTGCCATTGCATGAGAACCAAAATCTATTCGCCTTCCTGATCAGGCCCTAACTGACCCAGATTCAGCCATTTTATGTCCACCTTCCAGGCTTGATACCCACGGCAGGTGTGGGTGCAATCAGCCTCGGCCTGCTAAAGGTTCTCATTAAACTCTTCAGGCTCACTGTGGGATTGGTACATCCTATCTCACTGACCAAAGTCACACATGATATTTGGTGAAGAAATGGTTCCTAACTGTAATTTAAAATATGATCTATTCATCTCTCTCCCTAGAATCTGTATTTAAAATCAGAAGGGACCAATTATCTCAATCTCATGTGGTACATAAAATCTCATGAAGAGGTTGCAAGAGCTCATCGCCGTCAGAATCCAGTTCCAGCCCACTTTTAATCTCAAACCTGAAATCATAGAAAATTAGGGTTGGAAGAGACCTCAGGAGGTCATCTAGTCCAACCCCCTGCTCAAAGCAGGACCACCTCCAACTGAATTCAATCTGGATTCAACACCTATCTCTAGTAGTTTTTTGATGCAATGTCTGAGTTCAGAATAGAACCTCATGTTGTCTGTCTGCCTGAATGCTATTTACCCCACTGCCCCCCCCCGCCCCATTTTACATCATGTTTAGGGTTTTTTTCCCTCCATTTATGTCAAGGGGACAGCTGGAGGATGTGAAGAGAGATTTAGAAGCAACCAACCCATTTACAACATTAAGAAACAGTCACTGGCCCATAGAACATAAAAAGAAGAAATAATGAAGCAATGAAATTATTTCACTTCAGTGCAGAAGTGTGGCTGGAATTATTTCATTGTATTTCACTCCCGCTCATCTATTATTCCATACATTTTATTTAGTAGGTCAAATTTTATTATCGGTATATAATAAAATTAATTGGCTCCTACCTGCTGTTAGGAATATTATTGCACAATGTTTTGGTTATGTAGTCTTCTCTGTTCACAACTAAAAGATACTATAATATTAGTGAGCATAAAATGGCATGTGTGGTTACAATGAAACACATACTTCAAGTTTGCTATGAAGCAAAGACCAGTACCTTCAGCAATTGAAAATAGTAGTCATCTAAGCATAGTCACTTCACTGTCATTTTGTCTTTTCCCCCCACTCCGTCTCTCAGCTCTTCCACCTCTTGTTCTTGTCTTATTTCTAGAGCGTAAATTATTTGGTGCATAGAGTATCTTTATTATGTGTATACAGTACCTAGTACAATAGGCCCTGATCTCTGGCTAGGGCTTCTAGGTACTTCTGCAATCCAAATAACAATTACATACAAAAAATATGTTAAAAGAACATGATTATGGTTTCAAAGTCAATCATTCAAAAGTTAGGCAATCCCAACATTAAGATTGCCTATGTAACCTTAATTAGGCCTCTTTAATTACATGACAACATATTATTTTTCTACTGGACCTCAGGCTCATTCAGGGCACAAGATGGCTGGTCTCACCCCAGCCACATTTTCCATTTTGCAGCTACACTTGTGCTCTCTGGCCCATCTTGTCTCTGACCTCTATCTATTCCTTACCTTTCTATATACCAGTCAAAAAGCTTCCTCCATCTTCTGGCTCCTAGCGGTAAGCATTGACAGCACAGGAGAGACAGTCTCCTTGTTCTCAGTTCCTGTGCCTGGTGGTGGGAGGAGCAATTTCAGAAAAAGTCCCATTCAGCCAGGAGCTGGAGCATGCTCAGTACAGAGAGAGAATTTACCTGCCAAACAAGCCTGTGAAGAGTATTTTCAAACTGTAATTATTGGATGGATTTTCATGAAGAATGTGCCTTTGCTGTCCCAACATGAAGGTAACCCTTCCTACCAAATTTCAAGTTTGTGCTGCAAAACATGAGGAACTAGAGTATCTCAATAAAACGGTTACAAGGATTATTTTAAACATAGGTGAGACAACTTATTTCTCCTTTCCTTATTCTCAGAAATGGTTTAACCCTTTTTTTGCTGCAACTTCCTTCTCCTCCCACTGATAATTTGCATAGTCAATTGCTTGACCATCCTTTAGTTCATTCTGAAATATACTCAAGAAACCAAATAACCAATGACAGGTTTCAGAGTAACAGCCGTGTTAGTCTGTATCCGCAAAAAGAAGAACAGGAGTACTTGTGGCAC